AGGTGAGGTGAGGTGGGGGGGGGGACGGCGGCCCCTTGCCCCGGGCCTGGCTCAGGGCTCTGCAGCAGCGCTAATAAAAACTTGGGGTGCGTGGGGGGGAGCCCAGTCCCCTTGGCAGGCCTGCTCTCGTCACTCCCAGTGCCCCGCTGACATGGCTGCCAAGCTGTAAAAGGAGAGGTGGCAGCAGGGGAAGGTTCTGGAAGGTGCCAGGGGGCTCCCGGTGGTGTGAAAGGATCCTTGGAGAGTGGGGCATCGCCATAGCTGCTGGAAGCACGCAGTGCTGCACAGCGGGGCTGGGGACAGGGCTGTTGCTAAGTACCAGGGAAGGATAAGCAGGCACAGACACACGGTTGAGTGGCTGGAGGGATAATGAAGGGAAAAGCAGGGGAGACGAAGGAAACTGTTGGCTCCACAGGGCTTGCAGAGGCCCCCGGCCTCCTCCACCTTTCCTAAATGATTCTGGTCTCTTTAATTTTTTCTTTTGGACTGCGGGGGTTGGTGTAGCCTTGCCACAAGCAGCATGTTTGCTAACACCTCTGTCCCTGGCCGGCGTTTCATGTACGGCTGCAGATATTTCTGAGCTGTGAGGATTAACGGCTGAAGCTCAGGCAGGTCACGCGTTTGACCTGAGGGGTTTGCAGCCTCTGCTGCTTGGACACAAATTGCATCGGTATTGTCCAAAGCTGACTACCACATCTTCCACGTCTCCTTTAGTCACCACACAAAGTACTCCAGGCCTTGCAGTTTGCCAGAGTCAAGGGGGTTTCCTCCTCCTTATATGTCCCTGACTAAATCAAAGTTTGAGAGCACAGCTCTATGGCGGTGGCAGTGGGACGCCTCAAGGGGTGACAGGTCTTTTTTTGCAAGGTCGAGACAACCCCAAGAGGGAAACAGCAAGAGGAGCTCTGTAGCCAGGAAGGTGTAAATACAGCTGGAAAAACAAATCTCCTGAATGATTATTTTAATTGTTGAGAACCAGACTTCTTTAGAAACCTTGTAGTTTGATGTTTGAAGGGAGAAGGGCTGGCCCTGGCGCAGCAGAGCTTTAGGGGAGGGTTGCAAGCCCTTTGGAGCAGGGCAGTGTTTAGGGAGGCAAAGTTCATGGGCTTGCCACTCCTTCTAGTGAGGAATAACTCTGTGTGTAGTCTGCAGGGCTCCTGGACCTTGTTGTTCTACAAGTACCTGACAAACAAAGCGGGTGACAGCACTGGGGAGGGGACAACTGAGACAAAGCAACTTGTTTCACTGGGTAATAAACCCCTGAGCAGCTGAACTTTGGATGAGCTGCTCCAGTGAGTGGAAGGTTTGCAGGCAAATGTAATTCCTTGTTTACATGGGTGTGCTCGAAGGTGCCTTCCCGGCAGAGATGTCCATGGAGGCTCCCGAAGGGCAGGGTGGTAGCTGGAAAAACGTGTGTGGCTGTGGGAGTGTGGGTGTCTTCCAGCTCCATCTGCCTTGTCACCAGGCTGAAGCTCTGTGGAGTCGTGCTCCCCGGGGTTATGCTCTGGTAACTGAAGTCCAGCTTCAGAACTCCTTTTTCATCCATGTTTTGCAGGAAGGAGCGGTGTAGTGGATGCCAGCTGGCTCTGGGACACAGTGACTTGGCCCTTGGTGACAGCGAGCATGCAAATGGAGCAGTAGGGAGCCCCGAGAGCTGGCCAAGGAGGTGGGCTCACAGCTGAAGGATCCCCCCTCTATCCTGCTACTCTTTTCCAGGTTGTGCTGGAGAATGGCTCCAGGCTCACCTTTTCCCAGATGGATTTTTCCCAGCAGGAAAGATGTCTGAGCTGAGGCCTCCTCACCACCCCTGGGGCTCTGCAGGGTCCTGGGGGCAGGAGCCCCAGCTCACTTTTGCCCTGGGCCTCCCCAACTTGGCTGCTCTCATCCCACATGAGGATGGCACCCGGGGTCTCAGGCTCCCTCACAGCTTGTGGGAGTGTTTTTATCCCTTTGGGGGATGTCAGGGACGGCCCCCTGCCTTTGTGGCCTTCCTCCCTCTCCATCCTTAGCATGGTGCAGGCAGGGCACAGGGCTGGCAGCACCACACTGGCAGGAAATACGGTCTTGGAGAGTCCAGAGGCAAAGGATGAAAGTGCAAAACCAACGCCTTGGGGCACCACCAAGGCTTGTGGGGCTATTGCTGCTTCTTGCAGCTCCCACGGTGCTGCAGGCTGGGGAGGGGGGGGCTGCTGCTCCTCCCTCCCTTGGGACCTGTCTGTGGTGCTGCTGGGTCCCCACGCGTGGGCTGGCAGAGCAGCCCGGCTCCCTGCCCCACTGCTGACAGCGGCTCCGGCCCCAAGTCCCCCGTTCTCCTTCCCCCGGGCTGCTGGCAGTGGCTCCTGCGAGGGCCGGAGCAGGCGAGTGGTGCAATATCCTGCCTTTGTGTGTGCCAGCACCCACGTCCCCCCGAGCCGGGCGGGGGTAAAGGAGCTGCTGGCCGCTGGAGGTGCTGCCCTTCAGTTCCGCTGCTCGCTCCGGGCCCTGCTGGGGTTTGGAGCGGAAGGGCTGAGCCCGTCCCTGGCACGCTGCTGCTATTGTAGTTGTCTGTCACATATATCTCACCGAGCAGGGCCGTGTGGGGGATATTCTCCAGCAAAAGGCCCCTGCCCTCCCAGATGACAATAACCCCCTCGGGGGCCCAACCGCTTCCTCCAAGCTCCAGAGAGCGGCGCGGCCCGGGAGGGACCTTCCCGCTGGTGGAGGCTTTGCACGAACAAAAACCTCCCGCTGCGGCCGCTTCCCCGGCGGCCCCGGCGCACGGCAGTGCCAGCGCCCTGCTGCTCGCTGGGACGCCGGCTCTCCTCTTGGCTTCCCCACTTAACCCGTGTGGCTCTGGGCTCCTGGTGAGCAGCATGGGCAGCTGCAGAGGGAAAGTGGCCACTTCTGTCCCCAAAAAAGCTCAGGGAACAGTTCTGGGGCAGTTGCCTCTGGGTGCCTCCTTGGGCTGGGGAAGGGCAGGATTCTCTCGGTGCTCTGGACGTGGGAGGGAGGGGAGAGGGACCCTCATCTTCCATCCCTGTGCAAATTCGTCTCCATGCCTTGCTGCGTGGTGCAAACACAGCTCTGCTTTTCCCCCGTGCCCGTGGCCAGCTCGCTGCCGGCCGGCACCTGGTTTTCCCAGCACAGCACGGGGAGATGGAACCGCTGAGCCTCACCGTGCTGGGGTCTGCTCCTGTGCCCAGCCCCAAATGGGCTGCTGGGTTGCTGGGCTGCTGGGTACGGGTTCACCCTGCTCAGTTTGGGGCTGCTGGTGGCACACGAGCTGTTTGTGCCAGCCTGCTGCTGCCAGGGCACTGCCCAGGCACATGTTCCCAGCACTGAGGAGCTTGTGCAGGCAGGGAGCAGCTGGGACACGCTCCAGGGCGGCTCACACAGGCCGGGCATTGCTTTGTCGGTCAGCAGACTCCATTCCTCCCTGCATGCAATTTCTGTCACGAGAAACTTGCACGGAGAGGCTGGTTGAGCAAGAGGCACCGTTGCTCCGGGTGCTGGCAGGATCCTGGGGGCAGTGCCCAGGGACTTTATTGCCAAGGCAGTACTGGGCAGAGCCCAGGACTCCCCTGTGCCAGGTGCAGGGTACCCAACTCTCGTGCTTTGCTCATTCCCTGGCTTTTCCCTGTCCTTCCCAGCCCTGCTGCACCACAGGAGCAGCAGAGCAAGGTCCAATCCTGCTCTGTCCTCACACCCAGCACCCATTCCTGCAGCAGCCTGTGCCTTGAACGGCCCCACCAGCACAGAGCGGCTGTGCTTGGGGTGGCCATGACAACTGCAAGGGTAATAGCGTGCAGAAAGCATGTTTCCCTGCAGGTTTGTTTGCTTATTCCCGCCGGGCATGTTTTTGTTTATGGCCAGCCGATTCCACCCGCTGCCCCCTCACTATCACAAAATCATTCCGTACGGGCAGGTTTGGCTCTGCTGTGTCCCATCTCCTTGCACCCCAGCCCTCTTCCCCTGCCTGTCTTTCGCTCCCAAGGCCAACTGAAGAGATTTCGCGTGTGCCACCTCAGCTCCTTCACGTCCTCTGGGGATCCCCAACGACTGCTGGGAATGTGGGTCGCTGGTTCTTTTGCAGCATGGGCCTGTCTGTAGCGTGTGTGCAGGAAGGTGCCTCCTTCCACGAGCTGAGCCTGGGCAGCTCTTCCCTGCACCTTTGCAAGACCTCGGTGCCAAAAGGGACAGGGCTCAGTGGCCGTGGTGGCTTTTTTACCCCCTGGCCGTTGTGTAGTGCACGCAAGACACCCGTCAGTCATTGCCTTCTCTCATGTGCTCCCACATCCAAACTTCAGGCACCTCCGTTTGCTTTCCTACGTGGATTATCTGCAAGAGGAGGAACCCAGGAGAGGTTTCCCCATGTGAACGGCACACGGTCCTGCAGCCGGGGTGGCTGATGGTTTTCCCTGGGGGGATGCACCACCAGTGCCGCATCCTGGGCCCCACCCGCCAGGGGGAAAGGATGCTGCTGGTGGGGATGGTTGTGGTGGTGCTGCATGAAAACTCTTCTGCAAAACAACTACCAGCAGGTTAATCATTCCCTGGGCTGAGCAAAACATCCTGCTGGGGCTGAGCTGCCCTGGCCGGGCACCCTCAGTGTAATTCCTTCTCACGGCTTTGCCTTTGCAGCTCTTGCGAAGTTCGGCCCTGTGCAGGGTGTATCCGTGGGCATCGCCTCCGGGCATCCCCGGGCAAGCCCTGTAGCCGCTTCCCCATCCAGGGTGTATCCCCGGGCATTCTCCGCGCACGTCCCTAGGTGCAGCCCGGTGCAGGATTGCAGCAGCCCGGTATAGCCCGGTGCAGGGTGCCGGTGCCGGTGCCGGTGCCGTGCCCGGGCCCCGCGTGGCAGCGCCCTCTGCGGGCAGAGCACACGCCGCTGCGCGCCGGGGGAGGCGGTAGGGAGCGCGCCTCCACCTCCCCCACCCACCCGCCGCGCCGGTGTTGGTAGGCGCCGCCGCGGTGCCTGACGGGAGTTGTAGTCGGCAGGCGGGCGGACTCGCTTTCCCGGCGTGCCCCGCGCCGCCGCCGCCGTGGGTGCGGGCCGCTTGCCGCCGCCGCCACCGCGCTGCTCTGCGTCCCCCGGCCCGCCCGCCCGCTCTGTTCGCGGTCGCCATGGGCTCCCTGCTCAGCCGGCGCATCGCGGGCGTGGAGGATATCGACATCCAGGCCAACTCGGCCTATCGCTACCCGCCCAAGTCCGGTGAGGGCCGTGGGGCCGCTCCCCTCAGCGCGGGGACGGGGGAGGGGGACGGGCCTTCGCCGGGCCCGGTGCTCCCCCCCGGGCCGCCCCGAGGGGGGTCAGGCGTAGCGGGGGGCGCTCCCGGGGCGGCCGAGCCGCGGGGTCCCCGGGGGAAGGTGGCTGCGGGGGTGCCCGTCACCGGCCGGGGCCGAGCGGGGCCCGGGGCTGGCGCTGGCTCCGCTCGGGGCCTCCCTGGCGGAGAGAGCCAAGGGTTGTCGCTTCTCGGGCTGAACCTGTTGTATAAGGCCATCTCGGTGCCCCCGTTTGGCTGAAGTGTGGGGGTCCAGGAGGGCTGTGTGCCCTGAATAGCTGACGCTCAAGCTGTCGGGCTGTCCTGCTGTCAGTGTCCGTGGCCACCCGGCTCGGTCGCTGCCCTTTGGTCCTGGTAGGTGAACAAGGGCTTTGCTTCTCTGTTCTGGAAATGTGAATTCAGCAAGTTATTGGTGTGTGGCAAGCAGGGCATCTCCTGCTGGTGACGAGGAAGCGACGATGGAGTTCAGTGGGGACTTGGAAGGAAAATCGGATCCAGTGGAATATAGGATGGAAGAATTCCCCCATGACAACCACCTTAAAATGGCAGGGGTTCTCACCTAGGAGCTGTTGGACTGACTGGCCTACATGCATGTTTGTTTTCCAAAGGCAGACGTTCTGAAAACTTGAGATTTGTCAGCATTGACACTTTTGTGAAGTTAGGATGAGCCTGTGACTCGCCTTGTCTGAGATTGGCTTTTGAGATTGTCCTGGTTCAACTTGTTTAAATTTATTTATCCTTCTCACAAAACGAGTCATCGAGGACGTTCAGATGCTCTTTTCTCCTACAGTTTCCATTCACTTACAAATTTGTCTAAGTTTCTGCTTGGCTAGGGCTTTTCCAGGCAGGATAAAGAGTTTGCAGAGCAGCAGTTTGGGTTCCCTCACTCTCGGGTACAGGTGCAGCATAACCTTTTAATTCAGAGACTCGAGTTCTGCGTGTGTCCGATGACTTGCTGGCTGTGACATCCTCAGGTCTGTATGATGGAGGGAGCTAGGTCCCACCGTTTTGTTTGGCAGGGGTGCAAGATCTTCTCAGATAGAGTCCTGCCATCAGTACACCTTGTCTTGTTGCGGGTTGGCCTTCAGCAAAAATGGTGATGTGGAGGAGATGGAAGGGGGAAACCTAGCCAGGAAAATTCTTCAGGTGTGTTGACTCTCTTAGAAAATGTAACCCCCTTTTTTTAGGGGGGTGGTAACTAGCTTCTAAGCTGCTAGGAAAGGCAAATGTCACTGCTAGGTTACAGTAGGACTGTGTGTCCCTTGGGTGGCTGAGGGGCTTTCCCAGTGTGGGAGAGTGGGTGGACATGAGCTGCCTGCTAAGCTGTAGCTGTGGTACCTGCTGGGAATTTTCTTACAGCCTCGAGGTTGCACCTGATTTCTGTTGACACTTAGACAGGATATGGACTGGATTAATTATAACTACCATATGCAATGAACATTAAACTGCTTCTTTCAAATCGTCATCCTGTTGTTTCTGTACTGTTGTAATTACCCAGACTGGGATTTAACGGTGTATTGGGTTTTAGCCAATGTGCTTGCCAAGGTAATGCCATCACACACGTGAGGTTGGGTTTATATGTTCACATGTACTCTGGAAGGGGTCTGTTGACCTAGGTGCTGCCAAGGAGCATTCCACATGTGGTACCTCCCTTGTAAAACTGAACGCCTAATGTTTTTGAGCAACTGATTAAAGAAAAAATTTTGGTATTTCCTTTAAAGGCTTTGGTTGCAATTAGATGCCTGTGCTCTTTCTGAAAGCATACTGACTTTAGGCCAGACCCTTCTCTTCGCCTTCTTCAGGTTTGGACCCTAACAAGGATCCTCTTGACTTCAGGAAGGGAAGAGAGCTGTGCAAGCTCAAGATCATTCTAGGCAGAAGAGGAGGTCGTGAACACTTCTCAGGTGGAGATTCAAGGAAGGTTACTAAACACCAGAACAGTAAGGGCTGTTAGGATGGCAACTCCCTCTCCCTTCTTCAAGTGGAGAGTGTTCAGAAGGACACCGTCCCTTCTGGTCCTACAATCCTGTGTGTTTGTCTTGGGACTGGAAGGATTGACTGTGACTGGTACAAAACCTGACAGTGAAGATGACTGGAAGTGAGCGTGTATGGCTTTATTTGATTCCAGGAAGCGAGCTGGACATGGCACAAAATGTTCTTTGGCTAAATGATTGATAATTATTTTTAACTTGACACTGTCACTGTGAACTCTGTACTGCTACTGACTGCCTGACTAGAAGAAGCCAGTTTTCCATCGGCTGTGTTAGATGTTTGAATGTGTACATTAGAGCATTAGTCTGATATGCAGGTGGTCTCCTGGCTGCTCAGAGATTACCCTGAAAGGCTGGAAGAGAGCGTTACATGAGGTTACCCATCCGCTGGAATCTTCTGCAGCACCAGGCACTGTCACCTTTTACGTTCTTTCTCTTAGAGTCACTGGTTTAAGCAGATCCTGACTTACTCTGAGGGTGTGGGGAAGCTGCTGCAGCTCTGGTCAGCTGCCATCCATGGTCGGCATCAGTTTGAAGGATGCGGGTTTGCGTTCCGGAGCAAATACACCACTGCACAAGAGGGCCATGTTGTGTGCGCAAAGAAACACAAAATACAGGTGTTCTAATCTAAGCAGTATGTTGGCCTGCCTGTGAAAAGGAACATGGTTACTTTACCAAGTTGTACCAAGTTGTGGTACCATGTTGAGTCATAGCTGGTTGCAAATGCAGTGGTGAATATTCAGTTCTTGTTTACTGACTTTTGATGTGGTTATTGTTGGGTCACATCCTCTCTGAAGGACTAAGCAGGTTGTTACGGAATCCACCTTGGTCCTTATGAGCCAGAGTCTCTAATGAGGCATCCACAGATCGTTTAACAGCTTTGTTGCAGTTGGTATGCTGTTTTGTAGTTAAAAATGCTCTGAAAATGCCCTGCTTATTCCTCCAAGGCTCCGGGTGTGGATCCTCAGATGCAGGATTTCCCCTCCTGTATCTGAGGCTGAGGCTGCAAAAATTGCTGTAAGGTGACACCTGATTCCTTCTCTAATCCTTCTTCACTGGTACCTTTTAACCTTTCTTGCTTGCTTTATGGAGACTGTGCTGGCATTGTGGATGCCTGACCAGTTGGAAGGGCGTTGGAGGAGGGCCCAGTTTGTACAGAAGAATCAGTGCCCCCATGAAATGGGCTAAAAATGGGTAATCAGAAAGAACAGTCATGATCTTCACTGTGCTTCTGTGCTTGAAGCAGTAAAACGATCTGTGTTCTTGCATGCAGTCTCTTGATGCCCCTATTGCTTTAGCAACCAGTGAGCAACGCACCAGTGTTTTCCGCAGCTCCTTTGTCAGCTCGTCTCTTGTTCCAGTGAGCTCATCTGCAGTGTGGAGCAGGGCAGGGAGCACATGCCCTTGAGATGGCTTTTCTCCCCCGGAGTAGGCTCATGAAAGAGAATTCCCTGGACATTTTGGGGAGGAAAAAAAAAGGAGGCAGATTATTCCTCTCCAAAGCTGAACTGCTTTGTTGTTTGGGAATGATGCTTTAGTTAAAGAAAGAGCAATTTTAAATAGGAGAAGAGTACCCAGGGTTGTACCCAGTCCATCACCTTGTTCTCAGCTCCTAAGCCGTGTGTACTATGTCAGGGCAGAAGTACATTCACACGTAGCTTTCATTCCCCACCCGCTCTGCAGAGCACCGCGGAGGTGTTGTCCCTGTTGCTCCTCCTGTAGTTCTGTGGGGGTTCCAGCCCAACCCTGCTGGTGATGGCCACCACCACCTGCTGTTGTCTGGATCATTCCCTTCCTGCTTTCTCCCTGGCTACTCACAAGCTCCAGACTGGAGCGCTCGTGGATCAAAAGGAGTTGCTTTTGCTACTTGTTTGTTTCTGGATGATATTTAACCCAGCTCAGAGCCACGTTTGCATTTGCTGCCTGATTCCTTTGGATGTCCCAACGGGGATGGGCAATGAGGAAGGCAAGATGGCCTCATCCAGCCACGGTGCTGGTTCAGGCTCAGGCTGTGTCTAGGGTGGTGCTGTCAGTCTGTCCCTCGGCATGCCGTGGTGGTTAGTGCCTGGCTGAGTAATTAAAAAGGACTCAATTTCTATCACTTCACCGTTCATTCTAATAATAGTGAGAAGCCTAATGGACATCTAATTGCTTTCTGTTAATGAACGTTGTACGATGCAGTTCTGGTTTTGATGGGGCTACAGTTGTGTTGTTGACTCTGTGCTCCTGGCCATTGTAGGGTGTCGTGTCACTCGTGCATCACATCCATGTGTTGGGTTTGCACGGTCGCAGGATTAGGATGCTGAATTAGGGAGAAGTAATTGTGACTGGAGCAGTCTGGTGCTTAATGCCTGTGCATTTATGATAACAAAACCCCACCACCATGTTGGAGTAATTAAGTAGTTTGGTGTCACTTGATGCCCTGGAGAAGCCTTGGGTTCCAATTTGGTTTTGCATGGGACAAACTAACGAGTCAGACTTGGCCCATTCTGAGTGTCCCAGTGGTATTTTTCCAGCCACTGTGAAGTTTTCCACCACAACAATTTCTCTTACAACCACTGCTTGTACTTCATCAACCTTAGCGGTGTCACTCGGTCGTGTTCTCTTTTATATAATGCTCTCCTATGTTTTGTGCTGATTTACTCTGGGGAAGTAAAGCCACAATTTTTCTTTGTTCTGGCTTTTTTCCTCATATTCCGTCTTTGTTTATTTGTGCATGATTTGTTCCTTGTAAGTATGTCACTGCATTTTCCCAGAGGATTTCTGTTTGTAGCAGTTCTGTGGAGGGTTAATCCAAAGATTTTTTTGTCTGCTTTTTTTTTTTTTTCCCCTGCCAAAGAGGATGGTGCTAGCATCCCCCTTGTGTCCATAGCTACAGAGCTCTGTGTAAAGCTGGCCTTGCAATACCTGCGTAAGGTAGGTCAAGGTTGCTTTTTAGGCTGGGGGGACATGTGGGAACAGGGTTCAAGAGGCATGGTCATCTGGCTAAAATCCTAAAGCTGTCTTTGTAATGGAACTGGAAATAGAATTTGGAGGTGGAGCTGCAGCTGGATTTTAAGGCGTAGAAAATGTATACAAGCCTGTCACAGTGACTGGGAAAAGGATACCTAATTTTTTCCTTCTTATTGTTTCTTTGTCCTTTTAGTCCTTGGTGTGATATTTACAGAAGTGCTTTCTTAAAGTGTTTTGTCTCCAATTTGGACAGACTCCAAGTTGCTTGTCACAGTGATTGAAAGAAATAATGCATAACTTTCATCTTGCCTTGAGAGCTCTGAACTTAATCTGTTGTTGTAGCAACTGATTTCTGAAAGCTTGCAATAGAATATCCTTTTTTAGCTGCTAAAGACTGTGTTATAAATTTGTGAAGACAGTTTGCTGCTGTCCTTGTTTGTTAGTTTTGCTGTTGAGATATTGTGTAAGCAGCGGCTTTTGTATCTGTAGCAGCAGTGGCAGAGCCCAGGGGTGTTCTGCTCACCAGTGTATTCCCCTCTGAGTTCCTCAAAGTGATTTTCCTCGTGCTCTTTGTGACTTGCACTGACTACATTTCTTGTTTGCTTGTGAAGGAAGTGCCTCTGGGGAAAAAAAAAAACAAACCTCCTTCACGTTGCAGAAGGTGACTTAGCAGGAAGATGAAGGGAGCCTTCAGTCTGAATGTGGAATTGAAGCTGTGGTTTCCAGTTAGATAAGTGCTGCTGTATTGCAGGGGGTAGTGTGTATTTGTAAGAAATCCTAACGATTTGTTAGAGATTCCAAAAGTAGCTCTTAGTGGAGCAAATATAGTGTGTCAGGTGCCTTAAGCATCTAGTTATATGTCTCAGTGTCGTTCCAGTTGTACAGGAGAGACCTTTCCATCCGAAGGTGCTGGAGAGGCTGCCTGGTGCTGCTCTCCTGGACAGCTGGCTCCCTGCAGGCACAGGGTTTCAGTCCTCGCCTCCTGGGGCTCTGCGTCCTCTGTGTGTGGGATGTGGAACTTCTACAAAAAAAGCTCTGCTGTGAATTTGTGGAGTACAGGTTTACTGAGATGAGTTGAACCCCAAGGTTTCTCATTCATGGGATATGAGAGAGCTCTCTGACTCTGATCCCAAATAATCAGCTGCTGTGGTACTGAGACATCCCGCACAAGCATTGTCTTCACAGTTAATCAGATAAAATGCTCCAAAACACAATCCTATTTGACCCATGTAAAGTGTGAAATCTATTCCTAAACCCCGGTGTTCCTCATGCTTTTCTGAACGCTAGCATAAGCATAAACCACTGCAGTGCATCTCGGGTGGAGAGGCTGTATCAAGCTAGCTGTGCTTGCAGGTTATATGCAGATTAGCTTTTTCATTCGTTGCTTCTGGGAGGGGTGGGAAAAGGTTGCCTGTCATTTGGAGCACCTACATTTTGTTATGCTGACTCTGTAGGACAGATTCTAGGTATGCTCTGGACCTGTGCTGAAGTTGATTGTTCTATCTGGGAAGAAGGATGTGTTTCTATAATGTAAACATCTGGATGCTTGTAAGCTGAGCTCAGCAGTAGCTGAGCACTACCATCGTCATTAAAGCACTAACATCTGTGCAAAGTAAGAAGAGCTTTTCTTGAAGCACAAAGGAAGAAACCCTTAATGGAAAAAACAGAACCATTCATGAAAACCATTCAATTTCAGAGTAAATCATGCTTGCTCCTAGCTAGAGGGACTGCAGATCTTTCCATAATGCCTTCATAACCATTCAGATGATTGGTTACTGCTTCTGTAATGACTTGCTTTAAAACAAATTTTATGCTGTCTATGCATTGCACTCAGAGAAGTGAATGTACATTTGGCTCAGTCCTTTCATCATGCACATGAAAACCCACCACTCTGAAACTTCAGGGGAAATGGCTTGGGTGGAGCCTTTTCACTGCCTTCTCTCCCCATACTTACTTCTCTGAAATTGTAACTCCGTGAGGTTCATGCTTGAGAGTGTTTTCCCGAAGTCCTTCTAGGAGGAAGCTACATTTGCAGTGCTCTCAAACATCTGAATTGGTTTGGTTGATTTTGCACTTAATCCAGTGCTCCAGAATCCCAGTCACCTTGCACACGCTTCGTCTCCTGAAATTTGCACTGTAGTGCATCACCTTAAAAATGAATGAAACAAGTCTGTGTTGAAGCTTTCAGAGATGAAGTTCAGTTTAATCAGTCCCAGGGTTTATCTCTTCCAGACATCCATGTTTCTGCATTTAGAACTGTCGATGTTATTAATTTAATTCAATTCAGCATCAAGGCATATAGTCTCTAGCACTCACAGTAAAGATCTTGTGTGGTTCTCGCCCTGGGATATGGGAGTGAAAGGAGGGGAGGGAAGGCAAACTTTGCCCAACAGGAGCCCCTCTGGCTGTGCAGGGCTTTGGAGTGGGAGGAAGCTTCATCCTTCTCTGAGTCGGTCGATGGTGTTTGTGGGACTGGACTTCACGTTGGAAGGTGGAGAAGTGAGGAAGAATTCATCAGAATTGAGCAATATTAGAAAGAGCTGACTCTTACTGCTCACTGTCACTTCACTGGAAAACAAGTTAAAATGGAATTATCTCCACTGTAATGATTTATTCCAGGGAGTTTCCCTCCCCCCCCCCATGCTTCTACTGTTGGCAGTGACCATCAGTAGCACAGAGAAGCAGTGAACTAGCAAGTATTTTTTATGGCTTGTGCTCTTTTATACTTGTGAATTAAAAACTGCACAGACCAGCTGTTCTCTGGGAAGCACTCATTTAGAGTTATTTTTTATTCCTTTGTGGTTTTCTTTTCTAGGAAACTACTTTGCAAGTCACTTCTTTATGGGAGGCGAGAAGTTTGACACCCCTCACCCCGAGGGCTACCTTTTTGGCGAGAACATGGATCTAAACTTCCTTGGGAATAGACCCGTTCAGGCAAGTTCCTATACGCTGTCTGTTTTACCCTTTTGTTTTCTGCCTGGTTTGGAAAATTTGTGTAGGGCTTGTGAGGATCTCTTCAGTCTGTCCTCCTCTGCTACTTGGGGAGTGTCATTCCAGTCTAAGGTGCAGGAGTGCTCCCCCACCCCATGTCCCAGCTTGCCAGCTGCCACAGCAGTTCAGATGCAAGCAGAGGTTTTCTCAGCAGCAGTATTCACCTTCTAGGCCTATGTTTACTTAGGGTAGAAAGTGGGTGAAGGAAGTTGTGGAGGAAGGAGGGCAGGGACTGAGGCACAGATTTTGGGACTAATTCCGATTGCCTGCCTGAGTGAGTATAAAACATGCTGCAGAGAGGAGAAAGCTGGGAAGCAGATACACCCTGAGACCCTGAACTTTACAGGGCTCCTGGGCACGTTGGATGGATTCCAGGCAGTATTCAACGCGTGGTGGTCTCTGTGTAAACGAGTGGCCTGTCTGGGCATAGGCAGTGTTAAGGCAGACCTTGATAGTTGGTGATCATTGTTTGCTTTGTAACCTAGGGAGGCTGCTCAGAAAGTCTCTCTTTTAGTTTTCCCATTTGAGGCTCCAAGGTGTCTTATAAGACTTCAGCTACCTGCTCAAGTGATTGCCTTGTTCTTTTGTTGTGAACAGGGACTAGCGCTGTTGGGAGAGGCAGATAGGAATTTTATGCAAGCGTTACATTTTGGATTTCTCTTGCATCTCAGAACTGCTTAAACAGAACCAAAAGGTAACAGAATAGGAGCCATTTGGAGATGTTTTCAGAGTGCTGGAGAGGAAAGGGTAAAGAGCTGCTTGCTTTGTCAGATGTTTTCCTAGTTGTTTCTGCAGCTTCAAAACACAAAAATAAAAAATTGTTGTAATGGTTCTCCTCTTCAGAAAAACTGTGACTATTAGTTAATTCATGCATGTAGCGCTTGGAGGCAGTTCAGTATCCCCTCTGGTTTACATATGGGGGAAGCTGAGGCAAGATGCTTGAATGGGACTGGTGACAAGCATGTTCTGCTTTCTGAGATGTCCTTGAACTGTGCCATTGGTCTTCTCGGCACCACAGGTAGTTAACAAGATCTGCAGGGTAGGACAAGGGAGAATCCGGAAAGCCCTTGTTCAAGCACAAAGTACGGATGAGGGACTTCAAATGGAAATTGTTCTGGATGTAACAGTGCTGTGCAGGCATGGGGATGCTCCCTATAAACCCTGTGCCACGTCTGCATACAGGGCCTGTGCAGGACTGGTTAAAAGCTGACGGCTTTTGTGACTAGCAGCTGCACAGTGCTCCAACAAAAGCAGAAGATGCAGCTGTTAGCTAAATATCCCATGAGCCTGCAGCTGCAGGGACTAACCTTGCAGAGTTAAATTGCCTGCATGTCTCAGCCTGGGTTTCCTTGCAGACATCCTGGCACTGAATTTCATCATTTCTTCCGAGGGGAGTGGGTGAGAATGCTACTAACACAGTGGGACGTTTGCCAAATAGGTTTAAGAGAGGGAGGAAGTCATGGTATATAGTTTTCCTAGGTAAAGTTTATGCCCTTTGGCATCTCTGTTTAATGTTCAAGGGGAAAACCACTTGAACACAGAGCAGCAAAACTGCTTTCTGGACATGGGCAAAGTTCTTGTTTGGGTGTGACTGAGGTATTGACTGCTTTGTGCAGAGCGGTGCTACCAACCACAGTGCGGAGCAGTCGGGGTGCAAGGAAAGTAAATGCTGCTGCCCCATGAATTCCCTGCTGCCTGTGGCGGTGACACGGGGTCTTCTCTGGTGTTCTTGTGTTGATCAGGAAACAGCATGTTTTCCCTCAGGCTCTGGATATTGCCCCCCCAATACATTTTTGTGGCCTGAAGGGACAACACTGAAGGGTTGTGTCTTGGAGCTGCCCTGAAGTTCAGCTGCAGCAGGCTTTGGCTGCCTGTTTAGCAGGCTCCTCATTTCTAAGGAAACATGTATATTGGTGGTCCCTGGTACTTCTTTATGTCAGTTACTCTTCATGACTCCAGGGCACCCAGTAGATGGGTGTTGACCCTGTTGCTGGATACAGTCAGAGTAACCTTCTGCTGACAAACCTGTCCCATAGCTCTGAACCTTTGTGTCCTGCCATTGGTCTGACTTGGAGCATGGCTGTGTCTCCAGTCTGAGCACTGATCAAACTTGGCAGTTGTGCAAGTGGATGCTTCAGCTTCAAACTTGGAGGAGCAGATGGGAGATCCAGCAGGCAGGTCTGCAGCTGTCCAGGCTGGACTCATCACAGTAAGCAGGTTTCTTTGCTTTTCTTGCTGGAGATTCTGTGACCAGTAAGGAGAATTGCAGTCTGAAGCATTATTGTCCTTTAAAGGACAATCTGTGAGAGAAGATCTCTCGACTGTAGAATAGAATGAGGCCCCCTATCCCTGTCTCTTTTCTTTTCCAGAACATTTGCCCCATTGTTTCAGAATAAAAAGAGTTTCCTCCAGTAATCCAGGGCTTCAGCATGCTGATTAGCAGTCAAGTCACTGTTTGCATGCTGTAACACACATGAAAGAGCTGCATTTCTGCTGCTCAAGCTGGAGGTGGTTCCTTTAGTGGAAATAAACTTGTGAGAGCAAGGCTTTCCAGGCAGAATTCAGGGTGCATAAAAAGAGCTTGTGAAAATGCTCTTTCTTAAACTGCTTATTCCCAATATGAGCTATTGCTAGATTAGAGCAGGATTTTCACCCTGAAACATGCTTGATTTATCTGTGAATAGAATTCTCTATTACTGTTCCTTGTGTCTGCTGTTCTGAGTACCCTTAAAGGAAGGTGTTTCTTGGTTTGGGTAAACTGTATGGCAGGTAACGTGCTGCTACCTTTTATAGTATAATAGGAGAATTATTTGTCTTTTTTTCCAGTTTCCCTATGTAACTCCAGCTCCACATGAGCCAGTGAAGACACTGAGAAGTTTGGTGAATATCCGCAAAGACTCTCTCCGACTCGTGAGGTACTGTCATTGCCTGAACCTTTAATTTTACTCAACACAGTGATCTGCCATCCAGAGCCAAACTGTGTTTGATAAGGTTTTAGAGAAATAGCTGAATTCCCGATCCTTGCTGCTACGTATGTCCAGAGGTTTCTGTGTTTCCCTCTGATCAGAGCTTTCAGGTGGTATATATGCTCCATATCCCTGGACTCGAGCAATCTGTGTTTCCAGACAGAACCAGTGATGTATCCATCTCTACAGGACGGACTACAGTGTTAAACAAAACTATGAAATCATTAGCATGAATGGAAGATATTGGTCAGGTTAATAAACCCTGCAGACAGACTCCTTTCTGCATTCTTGGGCAAGGAGAAACCAGAAAGTAGCCGATTCTGGTGCAAGTCACAGGCCAGGAAGACTGATTGATCTTGAGTGAAACTTCCTCAGGTTTCTCCTGCTGCCAAGATAACGTTTGGTCCTAGTGTCATACATTCGTTTAGATGGCTTGTGTCCCATACGTGGGGGAAGGAGGTTGGATAATCATGGAGATCTGTTACCTTTCACTGCTCTACACTGAGATCTAAAACAGCACTAGCTGGCTTAAATGCAATGGCTAACACTTCGGCCTGCGGCTGTCCTCTTTCAAGCAGATGGTTGAAGTACAGGGGCCCAGCACACAGTGCTTTGTTTTGGTCTGGGCGTTTGGGAAGATGTCCAGGCAGAGCATTTCTCAAAGATCCTTAAGTTGCTCTGAATTCTGCATTTCAGGCGCAGGGCTGGTGTGCTGGCAGCGGGCCAGCTTCAACTCTCAGCCAAGGTGGTTCTGAGAGCATGGCGTAATGTGAGTAATTTGAGTCATAACCACACAAAACCCTCCGTTTGTTTTTATGTGAAAACTGGAAGTTGTTTTTTTGTTTGGTTTTGTTTTTTTTAAATGAGAAATACTTGTGGTTTCAAAACTGATTGAACAGGAAAAGAGGGAAGAACTTTTGAAAAAGTAACCACTGGTAAACTACTCTGAAAGCTGTCTGGCTTTTTCAGCTAAAGGGTGAAGTACTTCTCTAGGAAGAAGTCTTGCTTTCCTCCCACATTGCTGTGGAAAGGGTATTTTGTTCTCCTTGCAGGCATCCATGTAGACACCATAACATCTCTCAGAAGCCAAATGGGGAAGTGGTTTTTTTCACTGGGAGAAGCCTTGCTGTGAATGGAGGAGTTGGTGGGGTTTAGTACGTACAGTTCTGTCATTCTGCTTTCTGTGGTTGCGCTTCCTGTCTGCCCCCAAGCAGAGTTGCAGCTCTGGACTATTTGAAATGTCTGTGCACCTTGACAGTGTCTAAGTTTGCATCTGTCTATATTCCTTGTACTATCAGTTCTTTCTCTGCCTCAGGAGCTCTTGCAGGCTCTTGTGTTGCTGCTGTGTTAGTGCTGACAACACTACCGTTTAATTTTGTACTGATGTAGATCCAAAATGAGATTTTAATTGCAAGTCCCCAATGGCACATTCTGTCTCATGCTTTTCTACCGTTCTGGACTAGAGGCTTTTCATTCTTCCCTCTGTGCATGTAAGGATGCTTTGTGCCCTCTCCATCTTGGCTTATTCGCAACCAGTGGTTGAGGTTTGCACATTCTTCCCAGAACTAGTTAAGTTTAATTTACCACCTCCTCCACCAAATAAAACGGTATTGAGCAGTGTCTAGGTGTAAAGTAGGTTCTGATGGTAAAGTCCTCACAAGCTTGTTGTTTTTCCTTGTGTTTAATTGAAAATTCATTGTTCACCTGTTAAAGGGGCTGTTGATCCATAATTTTGAGTGTAGGGCTTTATGGAGGAATATGAGGAGATGTCCACGCTGGTCTTCCTGCCTGGTTCTGACCAGACGAAATTCTGAGCTTTACCAAATCCTGAATGTTTACAGCAGCTTTGGAGAGAAACAATAAACCTGTAGATATCGGTGTTCCGAGTCTTTGACACCTCATGCGAGTGCTTCATTACTAGCAGGATGAGACTCTGAATCTCAGAGGAGGGTAGCATGAGTTTTACTGTTAAACACTAACAGAAAAAGACTGCCTTGTGACTGTCTTGGATCCCTCGTTTGGCCCTGGTTTGGAAGCTTTGTTTCAGAACTGAAGTACCTAATAGGCTGGTACTGGCTGTTTGCTCTTACCCCAAAAGCACTTCCAGTTGCAGGTCAACTCACTCACGAGGCAACGTGTTTCATGGAAGAGTTGCATCCTGGGGCAGGCTCTCTGCTTCAGTGTGGGCTTTGGGCTTTGGATAGCATCGTGAAACAAAAGTGCTGAAGGAATCAGCAGCTATAGTGGCTTGGGAATGTGTCTGAAGCAGCAGCAATATCATGGAGAGTAGTGAGCCCACTGAGCACTTTGGATAAGGGCCTGAGAGGGAGGTAGGTGGTAGGGACCGAGGGGAGACAGGTGAGTCACTGGGAGTGAGAGAAGGGAAATCCCACCTCTTTCCTCTCCAGCACAGCAGGGCTGACCTTGATCCTTGGAGCTGTTCATCCTGCAGTGGAGCTGGTGTTGGTGAGAGTGCTGGCACTGCCTGCTCTGCAGCCGTAGATAGTGTTAAACTGTGTATAGATCTCTGCAAAACCCCCAAATAGGAAAGCCTTCGTTTGATGATCATCTCCCCCCGTGAAAGTCAATGCTGATAGAGATGTCAGCTAGTTCTTACTTAATTTACTGCCTTCTCTAACACTGTTGTAATGCATATCTCACAATACTAAGTCAAGAAATACTTTGAGTTTAACCTGCATGTCTACTAAGTTGTTGGTCAAACTTTTTAACCTCCTCAAAGGATGAGATCAGGTTTGACTCGACCTATTCCTATAAAACTGTTGTGGCTGCTGTTAATTATATTTTTACCTTTTAATTCTTTAACAGACAAACAAAAAGTTCCAGCATTTCCATTATTTTATCCAGAAGTGATGTCAGACCAGGTGGCCTCAGCTCCCTTGGTCATCCTGCTTTGCCTTTTTCATCATAATGTTGGATCAGCTATTTGTTCTCAAAGGTGGTCAGTCTCTTCTGCTCTATACATGTGATTGTGAAGGCTATGTGATTAACTTGTGTGCATGACCTGAAGGCACACCTAGCAAAGTCACTGGTTTCTAAATTTGTGCATGCATCTGTGACCACTTCACATGAATGCTGTCTGTAGGGGTTGACTAAATGTACACTGTAAACTTCAAGTGCAGGTGGAGACAGAAGAGCTCTTCAACCACCTGAGCCACCTCTTTGTCTGCCACCTCTGTTGCAAAGAAAGAAGGAATGCAAAATACGTGACTTTGTCTTGTTACTGCCCTGAAGTTACATCCCACTGTTCTTGCACCTTAAGGTGGAACGTGAGATGTCCCTGCCTCTCAAAGGATGCACCAAAGTAGTCCCTGCTTGTTCCTTGGTCCAGCTACTAGCTGGCGTAGCTGCTTATGCAGTCTTTTGTCACCTGAACCCCTTGCTATGTGGCAGACAATTTCCCTAAGCTCCAGCACCAGGCATGTTGCAACAGGAAGATGTGTACACAGCCTTGCTGTGACTGTCACCACTTAGGCACGTATACCTTGCCCCTGCTTGACTGATGCTGCTCCAGGCAGGCAGGGCCTTGACTCTCCTACTTCCAAACAGATGCATCCTCCAGGAACCTTCTCTCCAGGCACTGCAGTTGGTAGTGGCCCCTCCGTGGTTTCCCAGGGCAACAGATTTAGTCTAGTCTAGCTTTAACCCCTTTTCTTCTTGAAAGGATGGAAGCACATTTGGAGTGCTGGCAAGGTGCAGAGGTGAAGTTGGGAGCAGGAGGGTGATCTGGGAACATGTATGCTTTGCGTGACTTCATTGGGAAGACAAAGCAGGGAATGGTTTTATTAATAACATGGTGCTTTTGTGTGATCTGCACACAGCTCCAGGTGTCCCACCTTGTTACTTGAGGCTGTTACAGGTATCTAGAGCTGTGGTGTCGATCTCTAACTCATGCATGTGCTGGGCATCTCTATTTTAATACCTAATACAGGCAATGAGTATAAGTCTATGAAGTAGCCTTCACCAGTGCTTGCCTGGAAGTGGTGCGGGTTCTCCCCCACCCCACTTCTTCTGGAACAAGTGGCAAGTGTATCGTAGCCTGGATCTTTCACTGCCAGCCTTGGATCAATGAAGGGCAGCACAGCGAGAGGTAATTCGCAGAAGCAAATTTGGGCTGCTGCTTTCTTGGACACACACAACACTTCTGAGCAGATTGTTGCCATCTGTATTCTTGTGTCAGTCCAGCACAAAATGCTGATACTAGCCCTGTGTTTTCTATGCAAACCTGCCTTGCTGGCTGGAGTGTTTCTTGTTTACAGCCTTCAAGTGCCATGATTTTATTCTTTGAATGCAACTACCATGTGTGAAAATACCATTTTGCTCTATACTGTATATTGTATCCAGGCTGCTGCAGATGTTCAAATTCTCAGTTCTTGGGATTTGTCTTTTATTTTATACTACCATGTTGGGTGTATTCTAGCTTGATTTGCTGTTCTGACCTAGGTGAACCTCTGGCAGAAGTCTTGTTTGGAGTTCTCAGAGTCCTTCAGACAGGAATTCAAGTGTATGCTATAGTGATTCACCAGGGTTACATTAGTACAAGTATGTATGTTAGGTATTTGATTATACTGTTCTTAAATTTTATTTTGCACCTTCTGCATTAAATTGCTGAAGCTGAGCATTTAATTCTTGTTCAGTGTGGTGTTAAGTAAAATTCATGCCGGAACTCTCTTAATTAGGCAGCAGTTATTACATCTCAGGGAACTCAGTAAATACGGATTCCCTTGACAATTTTTAGATTGAATTATGGAGGTATGCCTAGCCCATTTCTGAGTATTTTCAACAGTGCAGCATATTCATTGAGGCTGTTTAATTAAGGGAGAGGCCGACTGATATTGTGAAGTCAGAGATGGTGCCAAGCATTTCCTGAATAGTTTAGCTGCTTGGCTTTGACCCAGGCATCATGGCAATTAAGGTAATACTGATAGACAAGTGAGGCTGGAGCTAGGCAGCAAATTGAGTAGTGTTATACACCTCTCAAAGGCAACCTGCTGAATTCACCATTCCTACATGGTGCGTGAACTAACGGTGGTACCTACAGTCATAGGATTACAGTGGTATTTGAATTTGCTTATGAGAATCTGCTTTTGCCCTGCCAGTGAATCGCATCCATTCTGTCTGTCACTTTGCGCTTCAAGGCAGGGGAGATCTTTTCGTGGTGTGTTGTTTTGGCTGCTTGTTCCAGGATCTGCTGGTCTCCTGGGCCACTCCTGGCATGTTACAACTCACTGCTCATCCATTGCCATAGCTCGCTGCCCACAAGCTTGCTTCATACCACCTTCTTTGCTGGATTTGTTACCTGCCTTTTCCAGCAGTAGGGAGAAGGAGTAGTACTGGGCAATGGTGATCACCCAGTGGGATCCAGCTGTACAATAGCCCATAGGCAAGTTATGACTCACCTTTTTGTTATTTGAAGTAACTTTTAAACTCATTCTTGTATGGGTTACGATGCATCTGTTATGCAGTTGAATGTGTTAATTTTTGTTCATACAATAAATGAGTACAAGCTTCAGTCGTTAACAGCATCAAAGGTTTAGCTGATGATTTGTACACTTAAAGGTATTTGAAGTTCCTGTATTTGGATGCTTTCTGATCTGAATATCATTTTCTGTGTGCTCCTGGAGGTGCCTTTTGTGGAACTTCAGAAGTTCTTTGTGTTACAGAAACCTTGTTTTTTGCCTGTCATGCACCATTTCATTTATAGAGTTAAAAGAGTTACGTTTTAGACTTCTCAGGCCATGCAGGATTTATTGAGCCCAAATACTGAGCCTAATGTGAAGATTTAAAAGGAAGGAGAATGTTTCTTCTCCTAACAGTTTGACATTCAAGAGTTCACTTTCTTGTCTCATTCTGTGTCCTGGCACTGTAAGACTGCGTGAGATCCCTCAACACTGTTGTTACATAATTCACTTCAATAATGTCACTCAAATCTTGGAAGAACCTTCCTGAGAGGAAAGAGTGGAAATCTCCTGGGAAGTCCCAGGTGGAAGCCCATGGTGCCTTGACTTCCCAGAACACCTAGGCCGGAGTACTCTTGTCCTGATTTCCAGAGTGATCTTGATGGTATCTCAGAAATACATGTTCTAATCCTCTGGCGTTGTCTTTCAGGTATAAAGATGATGTTGACAGTCCAACTGAGGAGAATGGGAAGCAGAAAGTCCTGTACAGCCTGGAGTTCACATTTGATGCGGATGCCCGTGTTGCCATCACAATCTACTGCCAGGCTACAGAAGAGTTTGTTGGTGGCATGGCAGTGTAAGTCCTGGGCTTGTGGGCATGTGGAGGGGCACAGGAGCTCTCAGGTGATGAGCCTGTCAAACATCTCTCATTAATCACCCCCAAGGGCAGTGCTGCCACAGATGGTGGAGAGGGAAATCTCTTCTTTTTCTGTTTTGTTTTATATATTCTGATAGTGTGGAATATTACTTTCACTTCTCTCCCCCACAAAGCCTATATCCTCTCTTGTCCCCTTTTTTGTTTGTTTTTTGGGTGTGGGGAAACCATTCTGTGTGCAACAAAGGAGAGGAACTCACAGATGTATGCTTTGTCAGCAAGATGCTCTATGAAATTAAAAACACCAACCACCCTTCCCTTCAAATACTACCTGTTTTTTTTCCAGATCACCTAACTCGCTGGATTTCTGTGTTCCCTGTGATGGGGGCATCTGGGCCACCAAAATAAAGTTCAGTCTGACATTTACATAGCAAGTCTGTGGAATTGAGGCCCAAAGCCCCTTTTGGGATAAATGACCACCTCAACACAGGCCGTTGTGAGATGGCTATCAGGAGGATTTACTGCCTGAAACCCTGTCTGTGTGTTTCCTGCCTGGTACACATGTTAGCCTTTGGCTAGCTATAGATCCGGTCAAAACATCATCCATGGAGTCCTTCTCATATCCTGGTAGTGCATCCCTACAGATTTAAAAACCTTTTTATCTAAACTGGCACGTTTAAACCATTCCAATCAACAGTGTATCCCATAAAACTATGAAAAATTTCCTCTCTGTAGTAAAAGCTAAGGTGGCTGAGACGTGGTCTCCCAGGTGTGAATTGAGTACACGTGAGCTGCTGGTACGTTACGGCAGACTTCCAATGGCCATGGGACAAAGACTTTTTATTCTATGGTTAGAGGAAGATTCAGGCTGCAGAAGCTCTTGGCTTCCTCTAGTAGAAGCTTTTGGCTGATCAGCGGCTCTGTGCACGTAGTGCTGACGGCTTCTGCAGTGGTGCTCTGGATTTGGGGGTAAACTTAAGTTTTATTGAAGGGATCTGCAAAGGTTTCAGCAGGAAGAAGTATGTATGACAAACCATAAAATGGCTTATGTGTTTTATGCAAAGTATAAACATCCCACTAATGATCAACTAATAGCGTACTTTTAGAAGTGAGACACAGTGCTGCCATGCAGATGTGCATTCCTCCAAACTGGAGCATTCCCGATACAGAATTTTTGTTTAGGCCCCTTCTCTTCTGTTGAAACCTATGGCTGCCTTTATTTTGGGGAGGTAATAAATTATCTCCTTTTAAGTGCTTGAAAAATATCTCTTGACAAACTCTGAAAACACTTTCTATTTAGATCCAGTTTTTCCTGAGCAGAGCTGAATGCAGCAGGATGCCTTAGAAATCCTGATAAAGTTTCCATGTTCTGTCTCTTGAGTCCTTAGGTTTCCTGTGAATTTAGTGCTAGTGAAGGTGTTGGAATGGCAGCCTTGGAGATTGAAGTCCTCTTTTCCTAATACAGGTACAACATGGAGAGGTGACCAGTGTCCCTTGTGCTGCCCTGCAGTGTTCCTTGTTTTTTGACCTAAGAAGGGAACCATCTGTGGGCTGATGTGGAGAACTGAGGGCCTCTATGGCCAGGGTGGATGTATTTACATTGCCAGACCACAGCCATGGCTTAAATCAGCAAATCTTGTTTTAAATCTTGATTTTAATCTTGTTTTGCATATTCACTTGCTGGTTTACCTTAAAGGAGAATCCATCACTGGTCAGTAACAATGAAACATCTGCATTTACAGCTCAGTGTAAGCTTTGCATCAAACTGTGCTACATTTTACAAAGAGCTTAAGTCTGTAAAGAATATGCTTATAGTTTAAAATGTGTTTTTTCAGACTCCTACTTTTGCATTTTTTTATGTCAAAATGGCAAAAACCCAAAGTTATTATAAAAAGAAAAGATACGTTTTATTTTTAACCTGTGTCTTGAACCAAGCTGTGTTGGGATGGAATTTGAATCACCTGAGACCAGCGGTGTGGCATTCTTGTTGGTTAAACTTCCCTATGGTGGACTCTTAAGAGACTGTCTTGTTAAGTTGTGCCTTGAATAATAATTGCTTAATGGAAGTATTAGAGTTACTGAATATAACTAACTGTTTCTGGACAGAGTGTGTTTTCAATTTTCTGTAACTAGCAGCTCTCCTCTCAGAACTCTGTCAGTTGATTGGAGGAGTTAAAACACAGTTTCTGGTTCACTTAAGAACACATTTTACTGAAATTTAGTGCCATGTACTAAGCCAGTGACTGTCACCAGTGCTGTTGTCTATTCTTCAAAGCTCATGCAGCAAACATGAACTGCCTAATTGCTTTTGACATTTAACTTGAACAATTCTTAGGTAGAGTTTCTGAAAGTTAACACAACTGTCAACTTAAAAGAAAAAAATTTTTTTTTTAATACAAATTTTTTAATCCACCCTGTCCATGGTTCACTGAGAAATGGATCTCTGTTCAGATGGCAGAGGAGAAGGCTTTGCACATGAATCCTACCTGCCTCTGCACGAAACCAGGATCAGTAGTCAGCAGTCATTACCTCACTAACAAAATGTAGCTGATGATACTGTGCTGCCCTGCTAGGGTGGCAGCAGCCCCCAATGCACTAAAACTTTACGTCAAAAGTCAAAGCACTCAGAGTCAGCTCTTGCTTCCACCGCTGGCCTTTTATTTAATAAATCATATTTTAATTTCTCCATAGTATAGGGTGATGAACTGTCTGTCTCTGCTCTGGAGTTCTTGGACAATAAATGTTATATACGTGTGGTGTGGGGAGGGCTGCACCAAAAGCCAGGGAACCTTTTGGAAGGCACGATCCTGATTTCATGCAGATGTGTAGGTAATAAGGGCTGGGGGAAGTGAGATACGAATATAGACTTTATAAGCTGCTTTAATTCAACCCAGGCTATTTTTCCATGTGGAAGTGGCTCATGAAGCACGTCTTGGGGCTAGTGCAGCTGCCCGAAGTAGGCATCTCTGCTTCTCTGGATTTGCTGGCTGCTAGTAAAAACCTTTTGAAGCTCTGATTTCAGCTTTGCAAAGCAGTTCTGAAAGGGCAGTGCTATAATTACTTTGATTGATTCTTTTCAAATTCTAGTGGAAAAAAAAAAAAACCTGGGCTGCATTCTTAGAGCTCTAAGTGGAGCGAGTGCATTTTTAGTGCACTAATAGGAATGCAGTTTCCCTCTGCCTGGGCTGGTAGTTTTTCCTTTTTCTCAATTTCTTTTGGTGCGAACAGCTACATTCAAGGAACAAGCATGTGCAAAAGCTGCATTGTGTATAAATTCAAAACTTTTTCTATTGGTGTGCCCAGCACTTGCATTGCGAAGAAGATGCTCTTTAAAACAAAGCACTTTTTTTTTTTTTTTTTTTTTTTTTCCACTCTCCTAAATTGATGCTAAATCTTAAACTGGGAGAAACTTTCTGGACCCATGTCAAAAGCAGAAATTTTCTCCTGGTCCCCAGCCTGCAGCATGGCTCCTTAGAAGCGCTAAACAAGTTATTCTTGCTTCTCTGCTGAAACAATCACTGATCCTGATAGTATCAGCGCTCCTGATCAGGAAGGTTGTTACGTTCATACAATTTGGGGTGAGAGGGGAGGGAAGGTGGCTCTCCCTGAACAGAGCCGTTGCTTGTTGTAGTAGAGCTTCTGCTCATCTGAGCCACAATGCTCTCTGTGCCGTCGGCCAGCCTTCAGGATTAGCTGGTCTTCATGTCCAAAGGGAAGGCTTTCTCTCTGCAAGCCAGGAAGCTGCTTCTTGGAGTTGTTTAGGCTCTGTATAAAAGCTGATGGCTTTATCGGTATGTGCTGCCTGTCCTTACCTGTCTCGAAGGAGCATTCAACAGACTCTCCCAGGTAATCGTGCTGGGAGATATGCTCAGCTATGCCGTTTCCCAGCCAAGATCTTGGCAACACATAGCTCCCAACTGCTGCCTGCCTCTTGTCCTAACTGTTGAACTCTGAGTTTCATGGGGAGCTGTATCATTACTGCTGTGGGACTGCAGTTGACCAGTAAAGTCTGGAGAAGGCGTATGTGTGGCTGTTGGTGATTGTAGAGGCGTCTTCACCTCTGCAGCCCCATGCCCAGGGAAAGGCACCCAGCACTTTCTGGTGCTAGTGCAGATATCTGTAGGAGCCTCTTGGCTGAAATCGGAGTTAGTTTAACTCTAGAGGGGACTGCTGCTCTTACCTTCTGAGTATCTTTTGCCAGGTTACTTTGTGGTAAGCCTAAAGACTCTTAAAACACATCAGTTCTCAGAGGACTGAGTCACTGAGTCACAGCAGTACCTGTCAGCTTCAAAAATGTCCTACAAAGAGAAATTTGCTGTCAGAATCTGTGATGCTAACTGGGTTTTAAGACTAACCAGCTGGAGAGGCAGCTCTGTGCCTGCAGTAGAGGCGATTGGCATGTGCAGCAAGGAAGGGTTTAGCCATCTCCGCTGAAAGGCGAAGGGTGACCAAGTTGAGCCCTGTCTAAATGGCATGAGAATCTCTGCCTTACATATAGGAGGCACAAACATGCAGGTGTGCGGGCTGTATGTTGACTGCTCATTAGTGATTGTCCATAAGTGTGTAATTTCCACCTAGATAAAGGAGAGTGTACTCCACATTGCATTTCCATTACAGGGCTGGCAGTACTCCTCAGCAGCTCCTACAGAATAGTTGAAAGGCTCCCAGTTCGTGTTCTGCCTTCTTCTGTAATAACTGGTTCATGTGTTTGTACCCTTAGTTGTCTTTGGTTCAGGAGACAGGTATGTTTTTTGGAACAGTTTGCAGAGATGTTCACATTCTCTTTTTGTGTGTGTTCTATGAATGCATCCTTCCCTTTTCTGACAAAAGCCTTGATGTGCACACTGTTAGTCTGCTCCTAGGAGGGCCCCTGGGACTTTTCCAGCTGTAGGTATCCTGCTGACTAGCAGGAAGGGTTGTGTAGTTAAAACATGACAGCAGCGGTTGTTTCCTCAGGGGAAGAAGTCAAACCAGCCCTGTAG